CCCATTCAATCCCGTAATATACAACAGATTTGTCCTTGGCTGTGGCCACAGGGCCAACGTAGCGAATGGTGCCCAGCGATCCGTAGCCGTCATCGACACGGTCTCCGACACATAGGGCCATGTTTATTCGATTTGATAGTGATTAAAATTTATTTGGTCACATTATAAGAGGCCACGAAAAAAGTAATATTAACAGCTACGTTAATAGCATCTATCTAACATTGCATACCCCGCTTAGACTGAGTTCGGAAGCAAATAGCGCTTTCCGATCTTTCGGTTGTACTCTAACACTTGTGCACGAACCTTTCTCTTTTCCATAAGCTTGTGGCGAGACCCAGCCAGTAGCACAGCATTTGGGTCCTCGGGAATGAGGTCGGAAAAGATGCCATAATTTTCAGTCAGAGCGCGAATTTTCTTGAGATGTTTTTCTTGCAGCTGCAAACCCAATGTATCTGCCTCCTCTAGCGTCGTCAATGCGCGGCGCATCAAACGCTTTCTTGCGTAGTGATCCACCAACAAGCCAAACGTCACGTCATCTGCTTCTAAGTCACCACTATCGATTTCTGAGCGCACAAGCTCTATTAACTGCTCAGCCTGCATCGTCCGTTTGGCACGTACGTACATCTGCATCATAGTTCGGTACGTAAACTCGTTTGGTTTAAGATCAAACTTCGAAAATGTATCTTTTAAAAATACTTCCGCAGAGCGAAGCCGGAGGGCATTGGCGTACACGGAAATCATCGAATTTAGCGTGATCACAGACGGGTTGAGGCCCTTTTCAAACGTCATCTCATGAAAGCGAGCCTCAGCACGTTTGATGTTAAGGGTCTGGAATTTTCCGAAGTCGCTAAGATCCATTGGAATTAGCTCAAAGTTGAGGGATTCTTCACTGTCCGCAAACAGCTTTTTGTCTTCCTCGCCATATACTTCCATGCTCCGCTCGGTCTTAACCAAGTTTGTCGTCTCGGCGTTCTTCAGCTTGTCAAATTCAGCCTGATCCTTCTGACGCAGCCTTTCCACCTGTGCCAAAGCCTCTGGCTTCAGCTTGTAACTCTCAGATTCGTTCATCTCATCCTCTTCAGCATCATCCTCATCAAGACTTGCATCATAATTAGCATTTTCAAAGGAGAAAGTTTCCTTGCCCGGACGAGTCAGATCAATTTCATTTCCTTCGTCATCCCACTCTAGCGGCTCTTGATAAACTGGTTCTGGCTGAATCAAAGCCTTTTGATTGCGTGGAGCCTTGTTCACAATTGTCCTCAGTTGTGCCCGCGCATACACGTTAAATAGCGTATTGTATACAAACTCTGTCATAGGCACGTGGTGGCGTTCCATGTGACTGATAATTTGTTCAGCCTGGATGAAGTCACCGTGCTTGGCACATGCGTGAAGCACTGTCGTGTACGAATACAAATCAGGTCGATAGTCATACAATTCCTGCATCTCGTAGTAAAAATCAAGGGCTTTGTGTGCATAATAGTGCGACTTTGCACAAGCATTCATCAACGTATTAAACGTCACGAGAGAAGGTGTCAGGCCGCACTCGAGCAAGTCTTCATACAAGTTCAAAGCACGCTCCACACGTCCCTCACGCGCAAAGCCATTAATTAAACAGCTAAAAGCCACCTCATCCGGCTCAGTAACATGAGTCCGCATCAAGTGGAAAGTCTCAAATGCCTTGTCAAGGTCTCCCTCACAAATGGCGGCGTTCATCAAAATCGTAAACGACGCGCGGTCGGGTACGAAGCCAGAAACTTGCATTTTCTCCATCACATTGTATGCCCAAGGCAGTCGTTTGGCCTTAGTGCACGCACGCATAACTGCATTATAAACTGCCACGGTGGGTTTAATCCCGCGCTCTTTCATGCGTCCAATCACGCGTACAGCATGCGCTGCGTGTCCATTTTCACCCAGCGCCGTGGCGTATAACATGTACGACTTGGCGTCTGGCGAGATTACATGGGGCACACTCAAAAGCGCATCCAGAAGCTCGAGCTCGGTATTGTCTGTGGGTTTGACATGTACTACCGTGTTCTCCACGGCGATAGATTCTAAGTTCTTCTCCATTCTAGTCAGCAAGGCATTAGCTTCCTTGTGGAGGCCTTTAAGCGCATACACTCTAAGAAGAAAGTTGTAGTCATCAACGGTCAGCTCATGTTGCACTTCCTCATTCCCAGCAACTTCAAGATCGCCATTAGACGTCAATTGTGTCTCTTTGACTTCCTTCATAGTGTTCGGGTCGCCTTGAGCGATGGCGTTGAGCTTGTGGAGCGCGTCCAAGTGATCAACGTCGGCTAAACTCGGTTCTGGCGCGTAGATATAGTCGCTTATTGCTCCAGAGTTGTTTAAATAGTCGTAAACGTCATCGAGTTTGCTAGTTAATTCGCTATCGCGCTCTAGAGCCGCCCACTCTTTGGCATTATGCTCGTTTATACGCTGCGCGACCTTCAGCTCGTGCGTGCGCTCTTGGTGCGTACGATGCGGCGCCGTGTCTTTTTTTAGCTTTTGTTTAGTATTAAGCGCATTGTGGCTCTTGTTTCCTTTGCTACGGTTCCAGTTCGAGGTCTTGACCACAAAAGCTGAGGCGCCACCTTTTCGTTTCAACAGCATGCGGCTCTGAGAAATTTCACGCACATTTAATGGAGATGAGAGTGGATAGAGTATATGACTGAGATGTGATCCTGGTTTGGGAAATAATGAGGCGACATGAAGACGTTGAGCCGCGTTAATGCGCAGCAATGCGGACATCATCTTTGGAGTGTCTGGCAGAGAGGAGTTGACTACTGTCACCAAATTGTACAAATTAGTAAACAAACGATGGAGTTAAAAAGGCTAATCAAATTTCAAATCTACACAATTTCTGCATAACTTTTAGAAATCAAAATTTATGTCTTATATCCTACCGAATTGATCTGATCTCACTATCAGGCGTGACGATTAATGTACTCGCTAAATCCGCTAAAGCCTCCATTTCAGCGTACTGCTTTGCAGAAATATACTTGTGTGGTTTATAATCAGCTGCACAGATCGTTGCAACCACTGCACCATCAGGAGCTCGAATTGGAAATCCTGCGTAAAATCGCAATCCCGTTTGACTCACAAAACCCATGTGACTAAATCGAATATCATTCAATGCATTCTTGACGACCAATGGACGTTCGTGGTATATCGTGTACGAACACATGGATTCCTCTCGCGGAAGTGACATACTAATGGCACCAGGAGGATGGAGTCCAACGACATATTGAGTCGATTGATCAATTAATGTCAAGTATCCAATTGGACACATCAAATGCGTCGCAGCAATCTGTGCAAGCATATTGAGTGCACTTCGATCGTACGTTGGACTCAAAGCGCCGGAACTGATGACGTAGTGCAATCGTCGTCGTTCTTGAGCTGGAAGTGGCTTTGGTGGCAATGGATGAGATGGAGACATAGTCTGACTGCCATCAAACTCGAGTTGATAATCTCGTTCAAGAGGTGCAATGGAAAATTGCGATTCATCTGCACCAGCACAATTCTTTTTTGTTTCTTGAAGTGTAGCACGCAATGTCCTTTTCAAGTGATCTTCGACATCCACTCGAAGCTGAGCCACAATGGAATCGTCGTACTGACCCTGTCTATATCGTGATTGGTGAAATTGATGATTTGATTGACTCTGCGTATAGTGGGATTCCGGGAAATTCCTTTTTGAATGCCCAACTTGAGACTCTGTTAGATTTGTGCCTCGAAAGTGACTTTGTGATTGACTGAGTTGACTTTGCGTTAAATGCGAATCATGGAATCGTGACTGCGATTGATTGAGTTGACTCTGCGTGAGTTGCGTGTCGCGATACGTTTGAGCTCGATACTGCGATTGACTTAATTGACTTTGCGTCAAGTGTGTCTCTCGTGACGAGTGAAACTGCGAGTGACTAAGTTGACTCTGTGTCAATTGTGTATCTCGAGTATGATCTCGATATAAATTCGGAGTCTGACGATACCGTGAATGCGATTGTTGGAATTGCGATTGACTTTGACTCCAATTCGATTCACTTAATTGGGTATGTGACTGATACAGCTGAGATTGGGTAAGACGAGAGCGTTTCAAGTAATTAGGTTGATGACGGACTTGTGCTTGAGCATTCACAAGTCGATCAAGCGTTTGCAATGCTCGTGACCGTTCCAGAGTTGAGTCGCCATAAAATTCGGTCGAAACATCATCGGGACTGTCCCCACTTTCAAATTCCGAGCATGTGACAGTAGAGCCCACGCTTCCACACGTGTAATTATCGTCGCGACGGTCGTATTCCTGGTGCTCGCTTTCATGCTCGTCATCATTGTCTCGATCTGTATCATCGTCAATTACAGCCGGTCCTAAAGCGGTCATAAAATCCTCATCTTCAAATACACAGGAATCAACATTTGTGATGCATCGAACACACAAACGCTTTTTTGAGACTTGACCAACGTTTCCTTCCACTTCGTACAGTTTTGAACACTCGCCGCAACAGACGTGACCACAGAGTTGACAATCGTGCTCACGTCGAAGAATCGAAAAGTGATTATTGCACACATCACATGTTTGAAGACTATGGCGACGAGCATCTCGATCCCCTGGTTTAATCTTGATAAATGTCTGTAAACCTAATCGACGACGACGAATGACACGTTCAAATTGCATCAATGATGTCGTAAGTAGTTCAATGACATGTTTGGCTTCAGCATTAATATGCGTCGAGCGGTAATGGGCCAATTCTGATGGACTATACGATGTCATTGTACGCTGCTGTTGCTGTCCAAACTGTTCCGGTGGTGTAATTGACGCGTAACCATGAGCAATAATTCGAGTTGATTGTGCAGCCCCTCGAGCCCCAATGCAATGAACTGTTCTCGTCTGAATATCAAACCCGACAGAAATATGATCTAATCCACGTAAGCCACTGCCCAGAACAGATCGACTTTGAAGCTTTTCTTCAATTGGAGCAAGTTGGTCATGTACAGAGCGAGGAAGTGTCTTTATGACATGCACAGCACGTTGTTTACCCACAAATTGGTGCGTAAGTGTAGCAAGACAGAGTTTTTGTAGTCGTTGATGTCGATTACGAAGTCGACCACGAACATCAAGTCGTCGTTTGGACTTAAATCGTGTCATACTGACACTTACAAGAACTTTCCGTTCCGATTCGTCGTCATCGTCACCATCCGATTGGTCGTACACTTTTCCATAGTGACCACGTGACGATTGTTGTATCCGTCGTACAGGTGCTCCGTCTAATGTTGTAGCATGAGGCTGAAGTAGCACTTCACCGTGTCGAACTTTTTTCTTTGGAATAATAGCTCGCATCGATGCTTCTAAATCGTGGTTAGTCTTGTGACTTGTTAATACGTTCAGAACTTCATTTAAATGACATTCAATTTCAATTGTCGCGACAACCGAATGAACAAGATCCATATCATCGCCTTTGCCATCGCGTGTAGGTAAAAGTTCGTACACTTCAACAGGGTCACCACTTTTGGACTTCCGCAACCAATTAGGAGCTCGATTTTCATGATCATCTACTGCTGCTTTGAGTTTTGGAAGTGTAGCTAAGAGATCCGAGACGAGTTCTTGATCCGACAATTGAAGGTTCCAACCTGACGGATCGTTCGTTTCTCGCTCGATCGTCATTCGACGTTGCTTGGGATCACAAGTAAGACGTACACCTCGAGTACTGTCACCACTTTCACTTATCAAACTGCTGTTTGCCCACATTGTGACTCGTTTGGCAATGAAACTACAACTTTAATGACAACTACTCGACCCCAGTCTTTGGGAAAAAGACAAAGTGTCGACACATAGCGACCGCCAGTCCACTGCTGCACTTGGCTTTACCCAACCAGCTTGTAAACTGGCCCGATCTTGTTTATGACTGGGTAATTTGACCCATTATTAAGATCAAGAATACTTAAATTGGCATATGTTTTAGGAGCGAATGTAATCATTTCAAATTTATTGGGATATATCAAATTGCCAAATTTAGGCTTTGTTTGTGTAAATTGAGCTCACAAGAACGATTTAAATCGTCCCCCTCTGTGGACTGGTCTCGGTCAGATGTGTAATGCGTCGTGAAATTTAAGTGTTAGTTTAGTCTGTGGATGGTAGGAGAGATAGAGCGACGTTATGGAAGATGCAAACATGGATAGCAACATCTCTAGTCTACAGTACCTGTCATCACTCTACATTGTACTATGCAGCGACAAACGTTAGGCTACGACCACTCAAAATACTCGGGATAGGCAGGGGATGTGAATGAGAAGAAACGAGGCATTACAATTTGACGATCATGATGTCCACATAAGGATTTGAGTTTGTTTGACTATAAAAACGAATTTTAGTAGGCTTCGAGAAGTGGCAAATTGATATCTAGAGATATTACTTATAGACATATAAAAGTCTGAAGTACCAGCTGTTTGTCTTTTGTACGATACAAATGAAAGCTAGCGTACAGAGACAATTCATTTAAGTTGCATTGAAATCTTATTTGACTTACATTATAGTAGTCTGAGTTATATGGTGGTACCTGCTCATTGTTCTGTGATTCTGGGGACCCATCACTTGATTTTTTTCTTATAGTAATAAGTGACCCCAATAAATAGGCTTATGACTATGTTTATTATTCCTTCATGTGCTTCTTTCATATCTTTCTGACGCTAAGTTCATCATATAGGACACAGCGCTTGGGCAAGCCAGTCAAAGACAATGAATGGCCTTTGCTCCTTTGATCGGGAAAAGGCGTGTTGGCGTATCTCTGCTCAGCTTAGTCTTCGCGGTTAATATCTATTTGCCAAACTCGAGTAGAAGAAGCGCTCTCCATCCGCGACTACGTTCACCTTTCGACACGTGAGTGTGTGCATTTAAGCGCGTGAATGTGATTACCGGTTGAAAGTTGGATTTGGACCACATTGGCTTCCCTCTTTTGGTATGTTTTCAAGTCGTCCATTTTAAGAAATTATGTCGGAAATTGTTTCCTTTATGCATATTTAACCTGCCTTTTTCCTGTCGGTCTAAGGAATGACTTCTTTTCTCTGGTAGACATCTGGGCATGAGTGCACTCGCTTCTATATCATCTCGTTATGTGGTACATTCATTTCAATACGTAAACAGAAACGAATGCTGAGAGTATCTTCAACTGAAATACGAAGTAAACGCTGCATTATCAATATGCACTATCTGCTACTCGAATACCGTGAATCTCAATTGTAGCGCTAATTTATGTGGGTCTGGCTGAACACTTACCATAACAGTAAGAAAAGCCAGCATATAGATATCGTTTGCAGATGAACGATATAAATATATATAATTGAATTGTCAGCTCTTAATAAAATTAGCAAACGGATCAATCTGCCGCTTTGTCTATCCTGTCTTTATCGACAGAAAGCTCGACGCTTCTCTGGTATCCGATATAATGAAATCTCGTGGTTGTCGTTACCAAACGATTTCGTATGTTTTTTCTTGGTATCAAGTGGCTCGTGATCAAACTAAGAAAACAACTTCGTGTTGTTCACACTTTGCAAAAAATTTAGATGACAACAAACTTATCTTTGTGTTCTTTAATCAAAATAATCGTACAGCTCTCTAGCCGCCGTAGAAGTACTTATCAAAGGAGATCACAAATCCAAATTAACGATAAAAAAATAATTTCCGCCGACTATTGTCCACTATGACAGCATTCGATTGATATTGTGAAAGTGAAAGACTTTTAATTAGACTGAAAGTGTGATGTTGTTAGCCATGGCCTCTGGAGTGCAGAGTAACCTTTTCACGAAACGGCGTCCCAGTCCTACTCGTAAAGAGCCGATGGTGCATCAACATACAAAAGAAGCGTTGATATATATTCGATATAGCTGATGTCGGCAAGCGTCGTACAAAATGAAACCAAAAGACAGAAGACTACATGTTACGATTGACAAGCAAGTCTGACAAGGAGATAATCCAAAATGCTCCTTTGCTCCCTCTACACATCCCTATTAAATTCCTGAGCTATAAAATATACTCACTCCACGGAACAATCTAGATTTACCAAGCATAAATGATTTTCTTAAACTTATATTCATACTTTAGATTCTATATTTTGTACAATAATTTCATAGTTAGAATTTCGTGGGTTTTGTCAAGCCATCACCATGGTCTTTCGATTCATGCTACTCTGCGGCGCTCTATCCGCCAGTAGCGTAGCGCAGACTGATGACCTTCCGGATTTTCCACAGTATTCTCCACAATGCGTACCCTTTGAATGTCGCCCCACGCGTGCTCCCGCTCCCGTGAAGTATAACTTGCATCTATCCGTCAAGCATTGCTACATTCTTTGCTAAACTTGTTTTTCCAGGGACTTCGAATTTACAAGCAATGGCTGCGGAACATCTGGATTTCAAGTTTCAACATCTAAGGATTTGGAAGAGTGCTGCAATTGGCACGACGCGGTACGATTGAAAGATTGATTTATTGCTCAAGACGTATCTGCTCACTTGACGACTGCTTTTAATCTTCTCCATAGTGCTATAGTGTGTGTGGTATGCCAAAGAAAATCTGCGAAAAGCGCTTAAAATCGTGCATGCATGCAACGTGCCACGAGAAAAGAACGGCAAAAGAGCGTGAAGACTGTTTTACGACTGCTAAGATTTTTTATATCAGCGCCAACGTGCGTTCTCTTGACATTCGTCATTACCATTTAGTTATAAGTACTAAATATGTGAGTTTTTTCTGTACTAGATGATGGCGTGTCCAGCATACGAGGATGCGCAGAAAGAAGCGTGCGAATGTGTACCAGAAGATACTGTTGCTACTGCCACCCGACAGCGTTTGGAATATTTTCTCGAAGAAAATGGCGCAAGCGAAAAAGAGTTGTCGGACGAGGCTATTGATGCGCTTCTAACGAAGTACAAAGGTCAAGAACCAAAAATGTTTTACCGACTGCTGAAGAAATACCCTAAGGCACTGAAAAGGGATCCGGAGAAGACAAATTTCATGGATAACGTTGTGAAAAATGTCGACAACTCTCTTAAAAAAGAGAAGCTGACGAAACGTAAAAATGTGAAGAAAGAGGAGCCGGTAGACGAGCACGAGGAATTGTAACGACCAGAAAGGCCCTGTCGACGGGATAATCTCTTCGTTAAGTAGACATGCAATTAACTCTATCAATAGGTTGCAGGATCATCTGCTGTATCACTCACGTATTCCGGTCTGCATATGTTAATACCATATTCCTTTAAACTGGCTGCTAGATCCTCCATCGTTAGTACAGCACGAGTATCAGTTGGAGATGCTCCATCGGATGTCGGAGCGGCTGATAACGCCAGAGAACCTGATCCAGTCGTCGAAGATGACGTAGTTTGCGAGCGAATACGTTGATATTGCATCGCATCGTGAATCACATCCACTAGGAGCTTGTGCACGGCCAGCGAGATTAGTCGAGTGCTGTATCAATTAAGTCAAAAAAAAGATTATAGAGAAAGATAGGAGTCACGTACACCCGCACGTCGTGGGAAGAAAACCCAACACGCTGTAAATAATATTCAACTAGCTCATCCGGTATTGTAGGTGAGTAGTGTAACATGGCCGACAAAAACGCCTCAAGTTGCACAGCCTCTGCCGTAGTCATGGCAATTGGCAGATTGGAAATTGAGCATTTTATTACTTTGTTATATAAGAATATATTGCTCTTCAACGAGTTTAAAAACAGCGTATTATTTAGCCAATCATATCAGATGTGGGTGCCTTGAATTATCAAGATCGATTTTGACCGAGCAAAAATACTCAGATGCGAGAGTGCTGGCCAAAAATAAGTAGCCATGACTAATTCTCAAATTTTCATACAGACACGCTACTGAGACAAAGAGCTTCCGGAGCATATCATTTTTTTTCACAGACAAATTTTCGTTGCGGAGATCAAGAAGCGACCATCACTCTGACCCTGGACAAAAGTACGTAGCAGTCTGAAGTTCATGCGCTTTTGAAGATTGCATTAGCAGG